GATTCAGGCACAAGATTCAGGTTATCAGCAAATTTATTAGAGTAATATAAATCGGCAAGCCTTCCGCCAAACGTTGTCATACTATCTTTTGATTTCACATCCTTTTTGACTTCCATTCCACAGGACCTGCCAGTGGAGGCTATCTAATTAGTCAGGAGAATCACGTTGGGCACGCCAAAATCCTCAAGCTCCTAAAGTTATGTCTCAAGACGTAGCTTACTCTCAGTGTTCACCCATTTACGAACTCATAGCTGAGGCGGTCATGCAATTGATGGAGGCGCCGTTTTTTCAACACCACAGACTGACATTCTGTGCTCGGTATGTGGACGACACCTTCGTCGTACTTGAGAGGGATCAGGTGCCGAAATTCCATAAATATCTAAACGCCGTCTTCCCGGACATTCAATTTACGATAAAGGACAAATAAAACAAACTGCTGGTATTTTTTGCATACCTTTGTTTGCCACAAAGATGGTGCTTACCTTAAAAGTGTGCAGGAAATTGAATAACACTATTTAGGTCCTGAAAAAGGGCAACAACATTCCGATCAGTTACACACAATTGCGAAAGAGCGCTATACGGCCGCGTTCAGACGCATTGCAGAGAAGTGGAAGACAAAGATGCTGACCTACAATATATTCGACTGTTGTTGAGAGCGAATGGTTCCCCAAGCTGTTTTTTTCAAACAGTGCATGTGCAGACAGGAGATGAAACAATATTTAACTGACGCAAAGATTTAAGGAGCTCTTCTGTACGCCAGCAAGCTGCATACTCAACTGAGAGTTTAAGTTGCGCAGAGGCCATAAGCAAACATCAGGCGCCGGGTCATGATAGCGAAAGACTCAGTTCCACGGCAGGAAACGTGTGGAGTCGTTTACCGGATCTTATGCAGCTATAGACAAAGCAAATACGTTGGAGAAACCGGGAAATTACTGCGGACGCGAATGGCCGGGCATGCAGCGGTGATGAGAAAAAAGGTGCCAATTCCCAGGTTACAGCCCATTCAACGGGACCCGGCGATATTTTTTAGGTTTGACCAGGTTTAAATCCTTGCAAGAGGTGACAACCACGTGAGCCGCGAGCTCCCCGAGTCATGGTTCTGAGGCCCCGAGTCCATCAAATAGTGGAACGATTTTGCTTTCCCATATTGCCTCCTGAGACATTGCCTTAGCAAGATAATCAGCCACGTGGGAACGGCCGGGTCCAGCAACAGCAACATGATGACAACGATCATAATTGTCGCTCAACTACCAGGCTTACATCTAACAGGGACAAGGAAATTGCGGCAATTGCGCCTTATCAATATATATCGCTTAACTATTTTCAGTGTTTTCCGTCGATGATCAAAAAAAAAGGATGATCCATGTGCTTACTTAAACCTTTAGGATCAAATATTTATTAAAATTATTTTCCTAAATAGTGAGTTTTAGACATTCTTAATAACGTTTCTCTTATATTTTTCCGTGATATAAGTACCACCCAAACATATCAACTCATTGCCGAGAAATAAATGAACTACCGACAATTGAAAAATAAATGTGGTTTTGACTTCCCTGATTTCCCTAAATATGCGAATAATGAAAGAAGTTGCTTTTCTTTGCATACTTTAGGATATCGACGTATACTTTTTAAACTTAATACCCTTTTCTCGAATTGACGAAGCATAATGAAGTGACAGAGTACAATACGCTTTTGCAAGAACTGAGAAAGGTCTGCCAGTTCTGCTTAAATATTTCCTATTCGACCATATT